CTAACAAGTACAATTATATTTTTGCAAGCATAATTGCATAATTGCAAAATGATGATTTTTTCCCGGAAAAGCGACAATAATTGTATTTAAAACTGTGTGTAATAAATTCAACGTGAAATAATTTTGGAGGTGGGAAAATAATACACCCTTCCGAATGGCATGCCTTTATTGTAGAAATAACCTTGAACGCCTTGTCGCAAGGAGTTTAGGGTGATGCTCTCAAAATCATTTGCCATCCGAAAGGGGTATATATTTTTTGCCCCGGTTGTACGATACAATTAAGTAAAATCCCCTTTCTGCGAGAGCCATAATATCAGCTTTATATGAAACGCGGTTTTCAAAACAGCAACATGTCACTAAATAGTCCGAATTTCGGAAAGTGTGTCAAAATTTCGGAAAGTGTGTCAGAATTTCGGAAAGTGTGTCAGAATTTCGTGCTTCAGGACTCGTCAATTCAGTCTGGCGCGAGCGGGAAAACCCAGAATCAGGGTCAAGTTGGACGAGGTTTTCTTCTAGTTACCATTCGCGTGAGGGCTTGCCAGTGTATAGTTACCAAACGCGTGAATCGAGTTACCAAACGCGTGAAAATGCATTGTTATGGTTACCGTACGCGTTATAAAGCCCCATGTTTGTTACCATTCGCATATTCTCCCTACTTATTATTTGAACATAACTTACGTTCAATACTTATCCTCTGGTCTTGCGCATTCATAGCCATTCAGAATAAGGTAATATTGGATCATACCACAATTCTGTGTGGCCTCACACATGCACGTGCGCACCTCCAGCTCCACTTTTGCTTGAATTTCGTATAATACATTGCAATGCGATTATTAAAAAACCCCTCTAAACCTGAGCGTGCTGCCAGCTGAGCACCAAGCAAGGGTAAAGCAGTCATTCATCTCAGGCGTGCTGCCCCATGCGGCATGCTGCTATGCTAGAAGCAGCTTCAGCACCTCATCTGCGATCGCATCCGCTGCACCCTCACCACACTCCCCTCCATCACTCCCCCCACCCTCCCCCTCGCCTTCCCCGGCAGCACTCCCCTTGCCCCCCCCATACTCGCTTGCCACCTCCCTGAGCGCCTTCCCCATGGTCTCCAGTGCAGCCGCGTCCCCCAGCAGGCGTGCTGCCACCGCTGCCACCTCCCCCGGCCCCACCTCCCCCACCACCTCCGGCACCACCTCCCGCCCCGCCCACCTGCACGCGCGCACAGGGGAGGCGGGCATGGGGGGGGGGGGGGGGGGGGGTGGTGGTGGAAGTGAATTTGGGTGGGTGTAGGGGAAGACAGTGAAAGAAGTTATGGAGAGCAGGGTTGTGAGGGTTGGCAATGGGGATGGCAAGGTGAGGGGTGGAGGAATGAAGCAGCAGGAGAGGCCATAAGCAGGAGCAAGGCAGAGGGGTAAGAGGTGAGGGGCGAGGAGGTGAGGGGGTATCGGTTGGGCCAGGCGAGGAGGTGAGGGGATACCGGTTGGGCCAGGCGGGGAGGTGAGGGGGTACCGGTTGGGCCAGGCGAGGAAGGGCAGCGAGCGGAGCAGCGAAGCGTTGAGGAAGCGAGTGAGCGCTGCTGCTGGGCCCGCTGGCAGCAGTGCCGGCAGCAACCCCAACACGCCCCCTGCCCCCCCTTGGAACAGCTGACGTGGACGGGACATGGGAGAGAGAGGGGAAAAGGTGTGATGAGGAGTGGCAGTGACAGTGGAAGGAAGGGCAGCAGCAAGAAGGCAGGGAAGGCGGAGCATGGCAGGGAGCAGCATGGGAGGGACAGTGCAGCGCATTGACAGCCAAGTCATACGCTGCATTTGAACCACAGCGAGCATGCATGGGCACGGACGCACCTCCAGCGAGAGAGTGGGCAGGACGACCACCATGGGCACTCCCAGTGCTGCCAGCTCAGCAGTGTTGGTGCCCACCTGCCATGCCACGTCACCCATGCCACATGTCACAATCACATGGCTTGCGGGCCAATCACAAAGCAAAGAGCCACAGCAGAAAGTGATGTGGCCAGCACAGCCGCCTTAGTGTGGGCATGAGGCACTGACAGAGTAGCACATGAAGCACGCTCACAGTGGTGAGGGCGAGGGAGCACTGCGAGAGCAGCGCATACGAGGGAAACGCCCTCCACACCTCCACCTCCACTCCCCCTCCCTCCTGAGCCCCGTCCCCTCCCTCCCTCCCCTCCTCCCCTTCACCCGCTCCCCCGTCTCCTCCCTCCCCACCCTCCTCCCCAGCAACCAGTCTCCCCAGATACTCCCACCCCACCCCCTCCCCTCCCCCTGGCGGAGAGGGCCGTGCATCTCCCCCTGCGCCAAGGGGAGCGGGGGGCAGCAGGCGGGCGGGCAGCCAGGCATGGCGCGCGATGAGGGCGTTGTGGCGCCGCGAGGCAAAGCGAGCCAGCGACGCCGGCTGCACCGTGGGGGCCAGGGGTAGGATGAAGCGCATTCGGGGGGCGCTGGGGGGAAGGGGGGAGGAGATGGGGGGAAGAGGATGGACGAGGAAGGAATGGATGGGAGTGAAGAGAGATGTGGGAGGTGGTGGATGTGTGGGCAGCGACAGGTGATGGCTGCGGGTGGTGGTGACCTGCTTGCCCACGTGGTGGCTCACCTGTGAGAGCAGGTCGTGTTGAGTGCATGGGCGACGGAGAGGAAGAAGGGCACTCCCACCATCAGCTTCACGTCCTGCCACCACCCAGCATGTGGCACAGGGGATGAGCGTGCGTGGCATGGCATGGCCCAGAATGGATACACAACTTGCATGTGTATGACATATACACATGAGGGCATACATGCATCCGCCACACACGAGCTCACGAATGAAGTCCCCATGCTCGCTCACCTTGCTTCCTGGCAGCAGCCCCACCACCACCTCACTCTCCTCGCTCTCCCCCACTCCTCTGCTTCCCCGCCCCTCCTCCCCTCTCCGCCCCTCGTCCCCCCTTCCCCGCTGCGCGCCCCTCGCCCCCTGCCCCTCCTGCCCCCCCTGCGCCTGCGCCACGGCGGAGAGGAAGAGGTCTCCCACCACGCGGGCGCGGCGGGCGGCCAGCAGGGCGGGCGGGATGGCGGGCAGCAGCACGGGCGAGCGCAGCGCACTCATGTCCACCAGCCTGGGGGGGGGGGAGCGGGGTTGGGAGGGTGGGAGCGGCAAGGTGGTTTAAGATTCAATAAAAAAACACCACCCCACTGCACCACCCAACATCCCCAAACACCTCTGCTATATTACCCCCCCGCCCCTCTACACACACCTGCACCCCCCCAACCCCTCCCTCCCCTCCTCCCCCCTGCAACCCACCAGGGCCAGCGGGCGGCGTCCTCAGCGTACACGAGGCAGCGGTACCCCAGGCGCCGCGCCAGCAGCACCGCATTCAGCTGCTCGCCGCCCAGAAACACCACCACGCCCCGCCGCCGCCACCCCCACTCCCCCTCCCCCTCCGCCTCCCCCTGCCCCTGCCCTCCCCTCTCCCCCTCCCCTTGGTGCCGCTGCTGGTGGTCTGTTCTCCCCCCCGAGGCTTCCCCCTCCCCCCTCTCCCCGCCCGTGTGCTGGCCCCCAGTGGCGGCAGCAGGGCGAGTGAAGAGCAGCATGTGGAAGAAACCTTGGGGGCCCTGGTGGGGAGAGGGGGGCGTGTGGGGAGGGGGTGGGGGGGGGTGCGAGTGGGGGTTCCAGGGCATGGCGTGGTAGCGGAATGCAGCGTGCACGAGGCATGGGGTACGGTATGGCGGATGGAGAATGAGGCTTATGGGGCATGGCATAGGGGTAGGCGGTGCGGTGGGTGTGGAATGTGCATGTGGTTGCAGCAATCCCAGGCCCTGTATCTCAAAGCATGTGGACCCACACTGCCCTGCACCCGCGCCCCCCCTTTTTGCATGCCCTCTCCCCCCCCCTGTGCGCGCACCGTGCAGCGGTGCACGCCCGGCATGGCGCGCAGCACCGCCAGCTCGTTGCCCGACGCGTGGGGACACGGCGCCAGCAGCACCTGGGGGGAGGGGGAGGGGAAAGCGAAGGGGCGGAGGGGGAGGCTCAGAGGGGGGAATTGGGGGGAGTGGCAGGGAGCGGGGAGCGGGGAGCGGGAAGCGGGGAGTGAGTGGGAACGAGGAGGAGCGTTCTAATGGGACGAGGTGACGAAGGAAGCCGGGGTTCGTGCATGGTAGGCGCATGGCGCGGGGGGGGTTGGGGGGAAGGGGCGCACGGAGACGCGGAGGCGGCGCGGGTCGGGGCCGAACAGGCGCGCCAGCGACGCCACGACGGGCGCCACCCACGCTGCCACCTCGCCCGGCCCGTTCGTTATGATCGCCACGTCAGCACTGCCCACCGCCTCGCGCTCCTCCGCGCTCAGCCGCCCTGCCACGTCAGCGCCATCCGCAGCACTGGCGGCAGAGGCACGGCACGCTGCCGGCGAGGCGCGCTGCGAAGGGACGTCAAGGACCACGGGGGAGGTCAATGCGCGCCGAGTCGATGCGCGCGCGGTGGAGGCGGGAACGGGTCTGAGCGCGGAGCGACGGGAGCCATGGGGATGCGCGGTGACGGAACGAGCGGCGGAAGGCGCAGCGGATGAGGAGACGGGAGATGCGAGCGGTTGCGAAGGGGCGGCGAGCCGCGATCTACTGGCGGCGGGTGGGGGGCGGCGACGAGACGCGAGGCTAGCCGAGCACTGCGGCGCCGGCGGCGGCGCTAGCGTGGGGGGCATGATGCCTGGGAGAGAGGAGTATCGATTTGAGTGTGGCGGGAGACTCAAAATGAGAGTTTGGAGTTGCAAGTTGCGAGTTTGGGCTTTGATCAATATTGTTCTTACTCCTTCCCGCCCACCACCATTCTCTCCCGCTAATCGATCTTCCCCCTTCATTCCCACCACTCGTCTCGCCGCTTCTCTGACATAGCCGTTCAGAGCGATCGCAGCGCTAGCCATTCTCTGATCTCACACCGTCGCATTCGCTGCGCGCTGATCGCACAAATCAGAGCGCTCGCAGGGATCGCAGCAATTGCGGCGGTCAGCGCGATCGCGGCGGCGCATGGCGGGTGCGGCGGAGAGGCGGGTGCTGATTATGGGCGACGGCGGCTCCCCCGCCGGGGCGGCCATGGGGGATCGCGCGGGGGGCGGGCGGCGTGCTGCATCTGGCGCACCCGAAAACAGGCGCGTCGCTGGCGGGGGCGCGATGGCGCGTGGGGAGTAGGGGCGCGTGTGGCCATTGGGATGGGAGGGGAGTGCGAGGGGGAATGTGCCAGCAGGTAGTCTCGCCATGCGCCATGCGCCATGCGCCATGCGCTCACATCGCATCCACCATCGTGCCCCTGTGCGCACGTGCGCCCTGCCCCATCCCCCCCTGCCCCATGCGTGTGCGTGCGTGCGTGCGTGCGTGCGAGCAGGGGCGGCGGTGTGCTACATGCAGCAGGGCGAGGCGGTGGTGGAGGTGGCGTGGTTCAAAGACGCGCTCTCCTCGTGGCTGCTGGGGGACTCCGTGCTCCAAGGTGCTGTGCATGGGGCATGGGTGGGTACATGGGGCATGGGTGGGTACATGGGGCATGGGTGGGTACATGGGGCAATGGGTGGGTACATGGGGCAATGGGGATGGTAAGGGCTAGCTGGGGACACAGAGGCAGTGATGGGTGTGATGGTGTGAGGGCAGGGAGTGGCAGACGCACATGGATCCCGCTCTGCTGCTTCACTGCTTCCTTGCGTCCCATGTCTGGAGCATGGTGGCTGGATGCGAAATGTTCACATCTGTGTCTGTATGGCATGGCATGGCATGGCATGGCATGTGGTGGCAGATGGCAGTCTATTCATGGCGACGCCCATTGATGCCGCCTTCATGCTCCTGCCCATCCTCGATAAGAGCAGGATGAAGGTACTCCCACACACCCATCCCTCCCTCTCACCCACCTCTCCATATCACCCACCCCTCCCTCTCACCCACCTGAGCCATTCATTCAGCGCAGCCACTCATTTCCACGTGGCACCACCCTCTCGTTGCGTATATGGTGCTGCACCCCGCACCTTGCATTGTGCCTTGACGCCTGGGAGGAAGAATATGACCCTTGCACCTGCCGTGTCTTGCTCACCCCAGTGCTTCACCTCCGTTGTCCTGTTGCCCTCCTCCCTCCTCCCTTCCCCCCACCTCTTGCTTCTCTGCCCCATGCCCCATGCTCCATGCCACATGCTCCATGCCCCATGCCCCATGCCCCATGCCACATGCTCCATGCCCCATGCCCCATGCCACATGCCCCATGCCCCATGCCACATGCTCCATGCCCCATGCTCCATGCCCCATGCCCCATGCCCCATGCCCCATGCCACATGCTCCATGCCCCATGCTCCATGCCCCATGCCCCATGCCCCATGCCCCATGCCCCATGCCCCATGCCCCATGCCCCATGCCCCATGCTCCATGCCACACACACGCTGCAGAAGGAGGGGTCAGACAGTGAAGGAATGTTCAGATCGCTGGATGAGATCTGCACCGTTGATGGATTCCCATCCTACGGCTGGCTGCAGTCGCAGGGAGTGTGGGATCCCGTTCTCCCTCTCATCACCGACATCAGAGGTGCCCCCCGCCCTCTCATGCCCCTCACGTCCCACCGCTCACATATCGTCCACCTTGACCTCCACCCCTGCCTCTTGCCTTCCCACACCAACTGTTCCTTTGATGCGTGTCTGTGCTGTCCGGTGTGGTGCTGTGTGGTGCTGTGCGGTGTGGCAGAGGTGGGCAGCACACGGTTCTACAGGCTGAATGACGGTCGGGTGTTGGCATGGCTCACATGCAAGGTGAGTGGGTGTTGGCATGGCTCACATGCAAGGTGAGTGGGTGTTGGCATGGCTCACATGCAAGGTGAGTGGGTGTTGGCATGGCTCACATGCAAGGTGAGTGGGTGTTGGCATGGCTCACATGCAAGGTGAGTGGGTGTTGGCATGGCTCACATGCAAGGTGAGTGGGTGTTGGCATGGCTCACATGCAAGGTGAGTGGGTGCTGGCATGGCTCACATGCAAGGTGAGTGGGTGTTGGCATGGCTCACATGCAAGGTGAGTGGAGGGTTTTCCATCCAACCGTCCCATCCGCTGCTGCTTCCGTGCCACCCATTCCCTCCTCTCACCACCTCTGCATGCCACCTCTGCTCCCTCCTCTCCAATCTCCTCCTCTTCCCCCCCTCTCCTCCCACCCCCCGCCACCCCCGCCCGCACGGCACCAGGTGGCGGCGCTCAAGGCAGCGCTGAGGCAGCACGGGGAGGCGCCGGTGAGAGGGCTGCCAGACACCGACCTGGGTGGGTTAAGGGCGGCCTGCCTGCCTTGCTGGCTGGCTGGCTGGCTGGCTGGCTGGCTGGCTGGCTGGCTGGCTGGCTGGCTGGCTGGCTGGCTGGCTGGCTGGCTGGCTGGCTGGCTGGCTGGGGGTCGTGATGTTCTCTCTGCTGCGTGCTTACGTGACTGTTCTCCCTAATTTCAGCCTGTAGGACCCGACTCTCCCTAACTTCTCTCCCACACATCAAGCCTGCTTCCCATAGGGCCTGCTGTGCATCTTGCTGCTGCTTCTCCCCTCGCCCCGCCTTACACATCCCCCCTGACCTTCTCCTCCCTCCATGTGCACACAGAGGCATACGCGGTGGGGCTGCTGGGCGAGTATCTGCCCGCCTCCTTCCACGCTGCCCTCTGCCGCCACCTCTCCATCAGGTCAGTGCCGCCCACGCTCCTCACATGCCCTCTTCACACACTTTTCTTCTGCTGCCATGCCGTCCCCTCTCTCCTCGCACACCTCCACATGCCACCCTCTGTCCCTATCTCCTCCCCCACCCACCCGCTCCACACTCGCCCTCCACGCTGCATGTACCGCTGGCTGCTGTGTGCCGTGCGTGGGGCAGTGAGGGCGAGGTGAAGCAGAGCCAGCAAGGGGGGCAACGCCTGGCCAGCCCACCTGCCACTACTGCCACTCAACCCAAGGTGCCATATGCCCCAGCTGCTCGCCTGCACCCTCTTTACCTGCGCTCACTTTTTCTATCTCTTCTGCATCTACGGAACGGAACCTTGCCTTGCCTTCACTTCATGCTCTGTCCTGAGGATATACCTCGGCCTCGCCAAATTGCCCATCTCCTGCCTCGCATCGCATGTCCTATGTCAGGTGTCCTCCACACCACCCAGTGCTGGGAAGCCGGGCTCCTCCAATTCAAACCAGCGCGGCAAGAAGGCGCTTAAAGCCCAACCAGGCGATCGAAAAATCACCTCCTTTTTTGGAAGGAATAGATAATGTGGAAATCCAACAGGATTATCATGTATGTTGTATTATTATATTTCTCATGCGTTACCGATGCCGGTACAAAAGCGGATTCCTCACGAAACCGTTGGGCCCACGTCGATTTGCCCGAGGCTGACGTGTACATCCATAGCTGGCCATTCCTGACGAGCCACTTCAACGTGTCCTCTGGTCTCCCGTTCTGCACCACCACCCATGCCATTCCATCTCCGTCAGTATGACTCTCGCGCATACCATCACAGCACTCGCACGCGATCACTGATCACATCCGCGCCTCCTCTTCATCCTCGCTGCCGATAGAATCCCCGCCGCCGCCACCAATCGCGCTCGCGCCCACGCTGCTCTCTTGCGCCGCGCCTTCTCGCGCATCTCGCTCCACACCTGCGGCGGCGCGCCGCCATCTCGCGTCGCCCCCCCGCATCCCACTCGCCGCTTGAGTTGGCGCAGCCATGCGCCCATCCGCGCGCCCTGGAGACGCAACTGGGCTTAGAGGTATTTTGCACGCCGCCATCCCGCGTCGCCCCCCCAATCCTACTCGCCGCTGGAGAGGCGACTGGGCTTAGAGGGTTTTCGCACGCCGCCATTCCCAAAACCACATGGCAAATAGTTGGAATTGCTAATTGGATTAGTTGGCAATTAGTTGGATTATCGTGGTTTGCTAATTGTGTCGCATGGCATCGCATGGTGTCATGGCGACGTCGCATGACGCCACCGCTGCTGGCGCTCCACCCCGCCAGCCCTCTCTGCCCCTCGCACCCGCGAATTCCCCTCTGCGCCCCTCCCACGCGGCCGCTGCCGCTTCCGGCGCAGCCCGCACTTTCTCCCCCCCGCTCTCCGCGCGCCACTCCGCGCCCCACCATGCGCGCCACCCGCCTCCCCCCAGTAACCTTCCGCAGCTCTCGCGCGCCTCCTCCTCCGTCTCCTCCTCGCTCCCGCGCTCCGCGCTCTCCTCCCCCGCGTCCTCCGCGCTGCACCTCCCCGCCATCCCCTCGCTGCAGTCCCTCCCCTCGCTCCGCTCCCTCTCCTCCTTCTCCTCCGCTCACACCTGCGCGGGCTGCTCCTGCGCGGGGTGCGCGGGGGGCAGCGCGGCGGGGGGCACGCGGAGCCCGTCGGACGGGGGGGAGGTGCGGTGGTACTTCAGCAAGGGGCACCTAGTCAAGGGCGGTGAGCGCATGTGGGTGGGGGGAGGGCGGTAGGTGCAGCGCAAGGGGAAAAGGAGGATTGCAGTGGGATGAGTGGAGTGGGCATGTGAGACCATATGGGGCTGTGCTTAATGCATGCTGTGTGCTCATGCTTTGCCATGACTTTCTACCTTCCCTGCCCCCCCTGCTCTCTCTTACTCTGTGTGTGTGTGTCTGTGGGCATGTGCCCATGGGAGCAGCGGTGGCAGCAGCGGTGCCGCATGCCATAGTGGCCTCCTCGGCTGACTTTCTGCGCTTCAGTGCACGCGACTCACACGCCCTCGAGACTGCCTTCCGCCAGGTGACTGCCTTCCGCCAGGTGACTACCTTCCGCCAGGTGACTGCCTTCCGCCAGGTGACTGCCTTCCGCCAGGTGACTGCCTTCCGCCAGGTGACTGCCTTCCGCCAGGTGACTGCCTTCCGCCAGGTGACTGCCTTCCGCCAGGTGACTGCCTTCCGCCAGGTGACTGCCTTCCGCCAGGTGACTGCCTTCCGCCAGGTGACTGCCTTCCGCCAGGTGACTGCCTTCCGCCAGGTCTGTGCGCCTTGTATGCCCGCTTCCCTCGCCTTCTCCCCCACTTCATGCATGCGCCCGCCCCGTGCTGCCCACACCCTTGCACCATATCTCACCGCTCTCTGCCCCCTCCCACCCCTGCACACCATGCCGCATCACACCAGCGCGAGGAGGAGCTGCTCACGCTGTGGTGGAAGGAGTATGCCGACGCCGCAGTGGGGCCCGCGCCAGGTGGCGTGCCGCCATTGGTGGCCCCTCTGCTGTCGTCCGATCGCATCCGTCCGTGGCAGATCGCCGCCCCCCTCAGGAGCAAGAGACGGCGGCGGGCAGGGTGGGGGCGAAGGCGGGAGAGGGAGGAAGAGAGGCAGGAGAGGGAGATAGAGCAGGAGAGGGAGAGGGAGAGAGAGAGGGAACGCGAAATGGCGAAGGAGAGGATGAGGGAATGGAGGAGGCAGGAGGTTAGGCGGCATGAGGGGGAGCTGGAGAAGGGCGAGGGGCTGTGGGCGGAAGTGCAGGAGGAGGGGGCGGAAGGGGAGGAGGGGGACGGGGGAAGGGGGGCAGAGGAGGCGGATAGGGAGGGCGATAGGGGGAGGGCGAGGGGTGCTGGTGGTGAGCGGGGAGCGTGGGACGATGGCAAGGCAGGCGATGCAGAGAGACAAGAGGGGGAGGAGGGGGAGGGGGGAGAGGGCGAGGAGGAGAGTGAGGGGGAGAGTGAGGAGGGCGAGGAGGAGGCGATGGGGGTGGTGGTCAAGGGCGGGCTATACGAGGTAAGGGTGTTCTCTCCCTGCCTGCTGCCTGCCTGCCCCTCCACGCCCTGCCTGCCCTCACTCACAGGGCATTCTGCTGCACACCGCATGTGCCCGCCATGCTCCTTGCTCAGTAACACCAGCTGTGTGCTTCAATTCAATGCTTCGCCATGCACCCATGCACGCTACCATGTGTGCCACAGTGCTGTGCCGTATCAAGGAACGTGCGGATGCTTATCAGACATCCCTCCCACCCTCTCTCTACCCACCCTTTCCCCTCCCCCTCGCCTGGTACCTCCAGGTGGACCTGGGTCGGAGGCGGTCGTATGCGGTGTACTGGGAGGGGGAGGACCGCCGTGTGCTGCGCGGGCTGTGGTTCGGCAAGCGGGCGGGACAGCTGACGTGGCAGCCCCTGAGGGAGGACGTGGCAGAGCAGCTGGAGGAGGCGTACAGGAAGCGGGTGAGTGGTGGGCGGGGAGAGAGGGGAGCACAGGGAGAGAGGGGAGCACAGGGAGAGGTTGGTCTCATGGCCACCCCATGCGCTTGCTTCCCCTTTCTTTCGCCGCTCGCTCCCTCGTCTCCCCATCTCTTGGTACCTCTCACCACCGCTGTTAACCCCTCCCATCTGCGTGTCTCCCTGTGCCGTGCAGGTGTGGCGGCGGCGGTGGTTCCAGCCGTCAGGCCTGTTCGCCTCTAGAGTGCCCATTGCTGGCGCCGGCGAGGTGAGCGCTCAGCACGGCACAGGGGGTGAGCGTGGGGGAGTGGGCAGGAGGGAGGCTGACATAGGTATGTGTGGGCGGTAGGTAGTGCACATGCACGGTAGGCTGGCACTGTTTCGCATCGTACCTACCCACTGCACCACACTCTTGAAGGCCTGCCACCTTATCACTCCCCACATCCTCTCACACTTGTCTCTCCCCTCTCTTCTATGCCAGGGAGTGAGCGCGGTGTTCACGGGGGACGACAGCAGCTGGCGGGCGCAGCTGTGGGTGGAAGGAACGCGGCTCTTCTCCTCGCCGCTGCACGCCATGGCCCTGCGCAGGGGCTTCCTGCCTTCCCCCTCCACTCAGGTCAGTGAGAGGTGAGAGGAAGCGCGTTGTGGATCGGCTCCAGATGGCACAGGCAGCCCTCCAGCACACTTGCAGTTCGCCTTCATTCCATGGGTGTGTGTGTGCCATCGTGCCCCTGCCTTGCCGCACCCCCTTGACCCGTTCTCTCTCCCCCTGTCTCTCGCTGCGTGGCAGCAGGAGGACGAGCAGCAGGTGAAGGAGGAGGAGCTGGATGACTACTGCTCCATGGTGGGTGGAATGAAATGGGAGCTGCATATGTCCATGAACGCACCCCATCCATCATGGCCACCCACCACTCTGCTGCATCACACGCATGCCTCAGTTCTCTTGGCTTACAGCATGCACACAACTCAAGCAACCCCTTTCCACCTCACCACCATGTAGCGTTGTGAGACGTCTCACCCCCACCCACCCTCTCCCCCCCCCCCCCCCCACCAGGTGCCGGTGCAGCATGTGGTGTTCATGGTGCACGGGGTGGGGCAGCGCCTGGAGTCGGCGCACCTGGTGGATGACGTCACTGCCTTCCGCCACCACGCAGCACAGCTCAGCCACTCACACCTCACCGCCCACCAGCGCCTGCAGCAGCGCTGCCTCTTCATCCCCTGCCAGGTGCCTCTTCATCCCCTGCCAGGTGCCTCTTCATCCCCTGCCAGGTGCCTCTTCATCCCCTGCCAGGTGCCCCCCTCCCTCTCCCTCACCATGCAGTTTCCCAACACCCTTCGTTCTTTTCATGATTCGACAGGCACGTGTTATCTGTCTCTCCCCCTTTTCGTTCTCCTCACTCCCCGTCGTCCACCTCCCTGCCGCCACATCCTCTTTCTCCCTGGCATGTGTGTGCGTGTGCGCATGGGTGTGCACGCCCGGGTGGCAGTGGAGGAGGGGCATGGCGCTGGCATCGGAGGCGGTGGTGGAGGGCATAACGCTGGAGGGCGTGAGAGCGCTGAGGGACGCTGTCAGCGCCACGGTGCACGATGTGCTCTACTACATGAGCCCCGCCTACTGCCAGACCATCATCCACTCGGTCCGTGCATCCACCGCATTGCACCGCACTGCACTGCACACGCTCGCCAGTGCTCTGAAACCTGCTGTTGCTACTACTGCCTCTGCTGCCAGTCTTCTGCATCCGCTTCTTGATCGCCTGCCTGCATTGATTCATCATTCAAAATTTCGTTCACTCTCTCCCATCCCTCCTCTCCTCCCCCATGCCCTCCCCCCAGCTGACCTCCTCACTGAACCGGCTGTACCGCAAGTTCAAGCGGCGCAATCCGCTGTTCAGCGGGCGCGTGTCGGTGTTCGGCCACTCGCTCGGCTCCGTGCTGCTCCACGACATCCTCTGCCACCAGCCGCCCCTCCCGCCCCTGCTGCCCCCCCCGCTGCCCCACTCGCTGCTTCCGCCGCCGCTGCTGGCAGATGGTAGAGGCCTGGGGGCGATGCAGGGAGGCGTGGGGAAGGCAGGGGACGATGGGGGATGGGAGGATGGGGAGGGGTGGAGTGAAAGTGAGGCTGCAGAATCGCCTGGGGCTGTCTCTGTGCCTGACCCATCCATGGTTCCTGCACGTGGTGGGGATCTGCTTGCGCTTGCCCCACAACGCCTTCCTGCTGCACTTGAACCTGTGTCACCTGCACCAGAGCCTGAACCTGCACCCGATTTTCTATCTGACGTTGCACCGGCACCTGTGGCTGTGGCTGTGCCCGAGCCAGCAGCGCCACCTGAAGCATCTGCTGACGCGCCTGTGCGCTTAGATGGGGGCATACCTGCCTCGCTACGGGTTATCCCTTCCTCCACCGCTGCCAGCCCAGCCATGCCTCAAAGCCCCACGCACACAAGCAGGGATGGCAGCAGCCACTGGGGGGATGGGTGCATGCAGGTTGCAAGGCAGGCAATGGACAGTGGAGGAGTGAAGGGGGTCGAGGCGGAAGCACAAGGGGAGGGGGAGGGTGATGCAGTGGCGGAGCAAGGAAGGGGCTGGGAGGAGGGGGAGCGAGTGCAGGGAGGGGGTGGGAGTGATGGGCAATCAGAAGCAGGTGTGGGGGGAGGGCCGAACACAGAGACAGCAGAGCAGTTGAGGCACAAGGTGAGAGGCGCTGTGTGTGTGGGGGGACTGCAGTGCGCTGCGTGTGAGTTGTGCCACCATTGCCTCAACTCCCAGTCAGTCCTCTCATCCTCTTGCACCCAACACCTCTCCACCTTCCCTCCCCACGGCACCGTTTCTCATTACCCTCTTTCCCTCCCCTCCCCTCTTGCCCCCCTCAGCTGGGCGAGCTACAGAGGGAGGTGGAAGCGTGGCGGGCCGCCTTCCACCACCTCGCCTCCTCGCTCCCGCACGTGCCGGCTGCTCGCCCTGCATCCCCCTCGCCATGTGTGCACCACACTGCTCCCGCATGCCATCGCGCCTCTCCTCCGTCCCACGCTTCTCAGCCCCTGCACGCCCCTGCTTCCACCCTCCCTCTCTTCGCTCTGCCACCCGCCCCTCCCCCTCTCCTCCTCCCAACGCCACCAGCACCACCAGCACCACCAGCACCACCAGCACCACCAGCACCATCGCCTGCGTGTCCTCCCACCAGTCAAGCCACCAGCCCTGCCACTCCGCCTGTGCAGCCCGCCTCGCCCGCTCTGCCAGCCACCCCTCCCCACTGCCCCACCAGCAGCCCCTCCTTGAGCGTTCCTTCTCGTGCCTCTGCCAGCTCTCTTGATGCTGCCCCTGCCGGCAATGCATGCGTGGTGGGCGCTGGTGACATACTGAAGGGAGACGGGGGTGAAGGCAGCATAGACAGCCGGGCAGAGGCGGGAGGGTGGGAACAGGTAGCAGTAGCACGGGAGAAGGCGAAGGATGAGGAGGGTGTGGTTGTGGGGGCATGCGGAGGGGAGGGGCGAGGAGGTAGGAAAAGGAAGGGCAGTGGCGGAAGGGAGGGAGGTGGGAATGGTGGAGGGGGTGTGTCGAGAAGAGGAGCGGGTGCAGTGGAGGAGGGAGCAACGAGAGGGAAGAGCAAGGAGAGGAGGGGCAGGGAGGTGGGTGAGACGAGGAGACAGAGGAGGAGGAGGAGGGTGGAGGAGAAGGAAAAGCTCGCTGCGTCTGCTGCAGTTGATGCTCGTGATGCGGCTGGGGCTGGGGCGAGTGGGGAAGCACAGGGGTGTGAAGCTCGCATGGGGCGAGGGGTGGATGCGGCGGCGAGGGGCGAGGGTGGGGAAGGAGTGGGTGGAGCAGTGGGGCCGGCACGGTGTGAGGCAGAGGCAGAGGCATGGGTGCAGCCAAAGGCAGGGGGGGTGGTGGAGGTGGCGAGTGGTGGCGGTGGATTGGGAGGCTATGGGGGATGCAGTGAGGGTTGCGAGGGACGCAGCGAGTGTGGTGAGAGAAGCAGGGAGGGCAGTGGGGAATGTGGGCATGACGAGAGGCGTAGTGAGTGTGGCGTGGTATGCGCACAAGTAGCAGTGGTGCCAGCGATAGAGGAGGGCGGTGGGCAATGCGCCGGGGAGGGGCGTGGGGAAGGCACTGGGGAAGGGCGAGAGCAGAGGGGAGAGGGGCTGCATGGGAATGTGGAAGCACTCACTTATGGGGATGCGGTGGTTGGCTGTAGGTTGGAGTGGAAGGTGGGAGAGGGCCGTGCAGAATGCAGTGGCAGTGGAGAGGGGATGGGTGGTGCAGCTGGTGCTGTGAAGGGTGGTGGAGAGGCGTGGCTGGGTTGGGGAGACACGCGTGAAGGCGGGGAAGAGGAGGGCGGAAGAATGGGGAGGGCGTCGCTGGGAGAGGATGGAAGAGCGGTGGCGGATGGGGGGACAACTGGAGAGGGGTTGGCGTGGAGTGCGATTGAGACACTTGGGGATTCAAACGGGAGAGAAGGGCATGTGGGGGAAGCAGGGGCACATGTGAAGGAGGGGGTGGACGAGAGAGGGGGGGAGAGAGCAGAGAGTCTTCGCGAGGGGGTTGCTGCAGGGATGGGAACAGGGAGGAGCGCAGCAGGAGCAGCAGGGGGGAGGGGCGAATCCCGGGCACAAGGGAGAGGCGAATCCCGGGCACAAGGGAGAGGCGGCGGCAGAGCAGCATCACCGCGGGCGCCACCACGGCAGCATGCGCCGTCTATTCGCTACGGCCGCCTGCTCTTTCCCGTGAGCTGCTCTCCTCTCCCTCCTCCTTGCTTCTTGCCCCTCTGCCCATCCTCTTTGCTCCCCTCGCCCTCTCATCACCCCCCCCTCCACAACCCATCCCCTCCCGCCCGCCCCCACCCCCCTCTCCGCGTCCACAGGTGGACACGTTCTTCGCAGTGGGGTCGCCCCTCGGCCTCTTCCTCGCTCTGCGCAACATTCGCCTCGGCGATGGTGGTGAGCAGAGAGAGGGGGGAGTGGGGTGATGCTGGGATGGGTGCGAGGGGTTGAGCAGGACGGATGCAGCGGTTAAGCTGGGATGGGATGACTCAACATGAGGCTCAGGCTAATGTTTATATTGGGCATGTTATTATAGGAGGCACAGTCAAGCATGTGCCAATGTTGTCTTCCCCCCAATCACCCCATGCATGAGCAGCAGGCGGCGAGAGTGCGCGGTACTGGGGCATGGAGGGAGTGCAGGAGGAGCTGCCAGCGTGCCGCCATGTGCTCAACATCTTCCACCCCCACGACCCCGTCGCCTACCGGTCAGTTCCCCACCACCCCGTCGCCTCCCGTGGTGGCCTGCATGTGACGATTGCTGTGTGCGTTTGCCTGCATGGTGGTGCCCACTGCTGTGTGTTGTCGTGATTCAGCTCACCTCCCACCGTGCCATGCATCACGTGCAGATTGGAGCCACTGGTGTCACCACAGCTGGCGCAAGTTCCTCCGGTGCTCATGCCGTACTACCGCGGTCACTACCGCACGCACATCGTAGTAAAGGTCAGGGCTGTGCTGTGACTGTTGCTGCATTATGCCTTCCCACATCTCTTGTTTCCACCTTGCCCCCCTCGCTGCCGCACTCCCTTAGCTGCTCTCCCATGCTCTCATAACCCCTGCTGTTTGCTCATCCTTCTTCCCTCCCTCCCATACCGCAACCCCATACGTCCCCATGCGCGCACCCCCTTTCCTTCATGCGTGCAGCGCTTCTTCCAGCAGCTGAGGGGCAGCCTGAGATGGCTGTACCGTGCACTGGTTTCACCGCTGCAATATGTGCTGGTGAGTCATGGCAGGTACTGTGATGCAATGTGGGGCAGTGAAGTGGTGTGGGGCAGTGATAGGCTATGTGAGGCGGTGAGAGGCTATTTGAGGCGGTGAGAGGCTATGTGAGGGGGCATAATCCTGGTGCAGTGCTGTGAATGCTGTCTTCAAATGTGTGTGTGTTGTCACGTGGGATTCCCTCTTCCGCCCATGCATCAGCATCATATCAGCATCAGCATCAGCATCATATCAGCATCAGCATCAGCATCATATCAGCATCAGCATCAGCATCATATCAGCATCAGCATCAGCATCAGCATCAGAATCAGCATCAGCATCATATCAGCATCAGCATCAGCATCAGCATCAGCATCAGAATCAGCATCAGCATCAGCATCATATCAGCATCAGCATCAGCATCATATCAGCATCAGCATCAGCATCAGCATTAGCATCACATCAGCATCAGCATCAGCATCAACATCACATCAGCATCAGCATCAGCATCAGCATTATATCAGCATCAGCATCAGCATCAGCATTAGCATCACATCAGCATCAGCATCAACATCACATCAGCATCAGCATCAGCATCAGCATCGCATCAGCATCAACATCAGCATCAGCATCAGCATCAGCATCACATCAGCATCAGCATCAGCATCAACATCACATCAGCATCAGCATCAGCATCAGCATCAGCATCATATCAGCATCAGCATCAGCATCAGCATTAGCATCACATCAGCATCAGCATCAGCATCAACATCACATCAGCATCAGCATCAGCATCAGCATCGCATCAGCATCAACATCAGCATCAGCATCAGCATCAGCATCAGCATCAGCATCAGCATCACATCAGCATCAGCATCAGCATCAACATCACATCAGCATCAGCATCAGCATCAGCATCATATCAGCATCAGCATCAGCATCAGCATCGCATCACCATCAACATCAGCATCAGCATCAGCATCAGCATCAACATCACATCAGCATCAGCATCATATCAGCATCAGCATCAGCATCAGCATCAGCATCAGCATCAGCATCAGCATCAGCATCAGCATTAGCATCACATCAGCATCAGCATCAGCATCAACATCACATCAGCATCGCATCAGCATCAACATCAGCATCAGCATCAGCATCAGAATCAGCATCAGCATCAGCATCATATCAGCATCAGCATCAGCATCAGCATCATATCAGCATCAGCATCAGCATCAGCATTAGCATCACATCAGCATCAGCATCAGCATCAACATCACATCAGCATCAACATCAGCATCAGCATCATATCAGCATCAGCATCAGCATCAGCATCAGCATTAGCATCAGCATCAGCATCAGCATCAGCATCAACATCACATCAGCATCAGCATCAGCATCAGCATCAGCATCGCATCAGCATCAACATCAGCATCAGCATCAGCATCAGCATTCGCATCAGCATCAGCATCAGCATCAGCATCACATCAGCATCAACATCAGCATCAGCATCAGCATCAGCATTGCATCAGCATCAGCATCAGCATCAGCATCAACATCAGCATCAACATCACATCAGCATCAGCAACAGCATCAGCATCGCATCCGCATCAGCATCAGCATCAGCATCAGCATCAGCATCAGCATCAGCATCAGCATCAGCATCATATCAGCATCAGCATCAGCATCAGCATCAGCATCAGCATCAGCATCGCATCCGCATCAGCATCAGCATCTGCATCAGCATCAGCATCAGCATCAGCATCAGCATCACATCAGCATCAGCATTACATCAGCATCAGCATCAGCATCAGCATCCGCATCATATCAGCATCAGCATCAGCATCAGCATCAGCATCAGCATCAGCATCACATCAGCATCAGCATCAGCATCAGCATCAGCATCAGCATCAGCATCAGCAACAGCATCAGCATCAATATCAGCATCATATCAGCATCAGCATCAGCATCAGCATCAGCATCAGCATCAGCATCGCATCAGCATCAGCATCAGCATCAGCATCAGCATCAGCATCAGCATCAGCATCAGCATCAGCATCAGCATCAGCATCAGCATCAGCATCAGCATCAGCATCAACATCGCATCAGCATCAGCATCAGCATCAGCATCAGCATCAGCATCAGCATCAGATCAGCATCAGCATCAGCATCAGCATCAGCATCAGCATCAGCATCAGCATCAGCATCAGCATCAGCATCAGCATCAGCATCAGCATCGCATCAGCATCAGCATCAGCATCAGCATCAGCATCAGCATCAGCATCAGCATCAGCATCAGCATCATATCAGCATCAGCATCAGCATCAGCATCAGCATCAGCATCAGCATCGCATCCGCATCAGCATCAGCATCTGCATCAGCATCAGCATCAGCATCAGCATCAGCATCAGCATCAGCATCACATCAGCATCGCATCAGCATCAGCATCAGCATCAGCATCAGCATCATATCAGCATCAGCATCAGCATCAGCATCACATCACATCAGCATCAGCATCAGCATCGGCATCAGCATCAGCATCAGCATCAGCATCACATCAGCAACAGCATCAGCATCAATATCAGCATCATATCAGCATCAGCATCAGCATCAGCATCAGCATCAGCATCACCATCACCATCACCATCAGCATCGCATCAGCATCAGCATCAGCATCAGCATCAGCATCAGCATCAGCATCAGCATCAGCATCAGCATCACATCAGCATCAGCATCAGCATCAGCATCACATCAGCATCACATCAGCATCAGCATCAGCATCAGCATCAGCATCAACATCATATCAGCATCAGCATCAGCATCAGCATCAGCATCAGGATCAGCATCGCATCAGCATCAGCATCAGCATCAGCATCAGAATCAGCATTAGCATCAGCATCAGCATCAGCATTAGCATCAGCATCAGCATCAGCATCAGCATCACATCAGCATTAGCATCAGCATCAGCATCAGCATCAGCATCAGCATCAGCATCAGCATCACATCAGCATCAGCATCAGCATCACATCAGCATCATATCAGCATCAGCATCAGCATCAGCATCAGCATCAGCATCAGCATCAGCATCGCATCAGCATCCGCATCAGCATCAGCATCAGCATCAGCATCAGCATCAGCATCAGCATCAGCATCAACATCGCATCAGCATCAGCATCAGCATCAGCATCAGCATCAGCATCAGCATCAGCATCAGCATCAACATCGCATCAGCATCAGCATCAGCATCAGCATCAGCATCAGCATCAGCATCAGCATGAGCATCAGCATCAGCATCACATCAGCATCAGCATCAGCATCAGCATCAGCATCAGCATCAGCATCAGCATCAACATCAGCATCAACATCACATCAGCATCAGCATCAGCATCAGCATCAACATCACATCAGCATCAGCATCAGCATCGCATCAGCATCAACATCAGCATCAGCATCAGCATCGCATCCGCATCAGCATCAGCATCAGCATCAGCATCAGCATCATATCAGCATCAGCATCAGCATCAGCATCAGCATCAGCATCAGCATCAGCATTAGCATCACATCAGCATCAGCATCAGCATCAACATCACATCAGCATCGCATCAGCATCAACATCAGCATCAGCATCAGCATCAGAATCAGCAGTGGCATCAGCATCATATCAGCATCAGCATCAGCATCAGCATCATATCAGCATCAGCATCAGCATCAGCATTACCATCACATCAGCATCAGCATCAGCATCAACATCACATCAGCATCAACATCAGCATCAGCATCATATCAGCATCAGCATCAGCATCAGCATCAGCATCAGCATTAGCATCAGCATCAGCATCAGCATCAACATCACATCAGCATCAGCATCAGCATCAGCATCAGCATCGCATCAGCATCAACATCAGCATCAGCATCAGCATCAGCATTCGCATCAGCATCAGCATCAGCATCAGCATCACATCAGCATCAACATCAGCATCAGCATCAGCATCAGCATCGCATCAGCATCAGCATCAGCATCAGCATCAACATCAGCATCAACATCACATCAGCATCAGCATCAGCATCAGCATCGCATCCGCATCAGCATCAGCATCAGCATCAGCATCAGCATCAGCATCAGCATCAGCATCATATCAGCATCAGCATCAGCATCAGCATCAGCATCAGCATCAGCATCGCATCCGCATCAGCATCAGCATCTGCATCAGCATCAGCATCAGCATCAGCATCAGCATCAGCATCAGCATCAGCATCACATCAGCATCAGCATTACATCAGCATCAGCATCAGCATCAGCATCCGCATCATATCAGCATCAGCATCAGCATCAGCATCAGCATCAGCATCACATCAGCATCAGCATCAGCATCAGCATCAGCATCAGCAACAGCATCAGCATCAATATCAGCATCATATCAGCATCAGCATCAGCATCAGCATCAGCATCAGCATCAGCATCGCATCAGCATCAGCATCAGCATCAGCATCAGCATCAGCATCAGCATCAGCATCAGCATCAGCATCACATCACATCAGCATCAGCATCAGCATCAGCATCACATCAGCATCACATCAGCATCAGCATCAGCATCAGCATCAACATCACATCAGCATCAGCATCAGCATCAGCATCAGCATCAGCATCAGCATCAGCATCAGCATCGCATCAGCATCAGCATCAGCATCAGCATCAGCATCAGCATCAGCATCAGATCAGCATCAGCCTCAGCATCAGCATCAGCATCAGCATCAGCATCAGCATCAGCATCAGCATCGCATCAGCATCAGCATCAGCATCAGCATCAGCATCAGCATCAGCATCAGCATCAGCATCAGCATCAGCATCAGCATCATATCAGCATCAGCATCAGCATCAGCATCAGCATCAGCATCAGCATCAGCATCAGCATCAGCATCAGCATCGCATCCGCATCAGCATCAGCATCTGCATCAGCATCAGCATCAGCATCAGCATCAGCATCAGCATCAGCATCACATCAGCATCAGCATTAGCATCAGCATCAGCATCAGCATCAGCATCAGCATCAGCATCACATCAGCATCGCATCAGCATCAGCATCAGCATCAGCATCAGCATCATATCAGCATCAGCATCAGCATCAGCATCACATCACATCAGCATCAGCATCAGCATCAGCATCAGCATCAGCATCAGCATCAGCATCAGCATCAGCATCACCATCACCATCACCATCAGCATCGCATCAGCATCAGCATCAGCATCAGCATCAGCATCAGCATCAGCATCAGCATCACATCAGCATCAGCATCAGCATCAGCATCACATCAGCATCACATCAGCATCAGCATCAGCATCAGCATCAGCATCAACATCATATCAGCATCAGCATCAGCATCAGCATCAGCATCAGCATCAGCATCAGCATCAGCATCGCATCAGCATCAGCATCAGCATCAGCATCAGCATTAGCATCAGCATCAGCATCAGCATTAGCATCAGCATCAGCATCAGCATCAGCATCACATCAGCATCAGCATCAGCATCAGCATCAGCATCAGCATCAGCATCAGCATCAGCATCAGCATCACATCAGCATCAGCATCAGCATCACATCAGCATCATATCAGCATCAGCATCAGCATCAGCATCAGCATCAGCATCAGCATCAGCATCGCATCCGCATCAGCATCAGCATCAGCATCAGCATCAGCATCAGCATCAGCATCAGCATCAACATCGCATCAGCATCAGCATCAGCATCAGCATCAGCATCAGCATCAGCATCAGCATTAGCATCACATCAGCATCAGCATCAGCATCAACATCACATCAGCATCAGCATCAGCATCAGCATCGCATCAGCATCAACATCAGCATCAGCATCAGCATCAGCATCAGCATCAGCATCAGCATCAGCATCAGCATCACATCAGCATCAGCATCAGCATCAACATCACATCAGCATCAGCATCAGCATCAGCATCATATCAGCATCAGCATCAGCATCAGCATCGCATCACCATCAACATCAGCATCAGCATCAGCATCAGCATCAGCATCAGCATCAACATCACATCAGCATCAGCATCAGCATCATATCAGCATCAGCATCAGCATCAGCATCAGCATCAGCATCAGCATCAGCATCGCATCCGCATCAGCATCAGCATCTGCATCAGCATCAGCATCAGCATCAGCATCAGCATCAGCATCAGCATCACATCAGCATCAGCATTACATCAGCATCAGCATCAGCATCAGCATCCGCATCATATCAGCATCAGCATCTGCATCAGCATCAGCATCAGCATCAGCATCAGCATCAGCATCACCATCACCATCACCATCAGCATCGCATCAGCATCAGCATCAGCATCAGCATCAGCATCAGCATCAGCATCAGCATCAGCATCACATCAGCATCAGCATCAGCATCAGCATCACATCAGCATCACATCAGCATCAGCATCAGCATCAGCATCAGCATCAACATCATATCAGCATCAGCATCAGCATCAGCATCAGCATCAGCATCAGCATCAGCATCGCATCAGCATCAGCATCAGCATCAGCATCAGCATTAGCATCAGCATCAGCATTAGCATCAGCATCAGCATCAGCATCAGCATCACATCAGCATCAGCATCAGCATCAGCATCAGCATCAGCATCAGCATCAGCATCAGCATCAGCATCACATCAGCATCAGCATCAGCATCACATCAGCATCATATCAGCATCAGCATCAGCATCAGCATCAGCATCAGCATCAGCATCAGCATCGCATCAGCATCCGCATCAGCATCAGCATCAGCATCAGCATCAGCATCAGCATCAGCATCAGCATCAGCATCAGCATCAACATCGCATCAGCATCAGCATCAGCATCAGCATCAGCATCAGCATCAGCATCAGCATTAGCATCACATCAGCATCAGCATCAGCATCAACATCACATCAGCATCAGCATCAGCATCAGCATCGCATCAGCATCAACATCAGCATCAGCATCAGCATCAGCATCAGCATCAGCATCAGCATCAGCATCACATCAGCATCAGCATCAGCATCAACATCACATCAGCATCAGCATCAGCATCAGCATCATATCAGCATCAGCATCAGCATCAGCATCGCATCACCATCAACATCAGCATCAGCATCAGCATCAGCATCAGCATCAACATCACATCAGCATCAGCATCAGCATCATATCAGCATCAGCATCAGCATCAGCATCAGCATCAGCATCAGCATCAGCATCAGCATCGCATCCGCATCAGCATCAGCATCTGCATCAGCATCAGCATCAGCATCAGCATCAGCATCAGCATCACATCAGCATCAGCATTACATCAGCATCAGCATCAGCATCAGCATCCGCATCATATCAGCATCAGCATCTGCATCAGCATCAGCATCACATCAGCATCAGCATCAGCATCAGCATCAGCATCAGCATCAGCATGCATCTCACGCCTCTCCCTGCCTCTCCCCTCCTCACTAATTGCGCCCTTCTCACTCCCCTCAACCCATCCCCACCCCTGCCAGAGGTCCGCATGGAGTCTGCTCTGCTTCGCCCCTCCACCTCCTCGACCCGCACCGGGTATGCACCCACCTCCACCCAACTGCACCGACCTCATCCGAGTGCACATGCACAGCATGACATGCCCCCACTGCGTGCCCAACCTCTCCATTGCTGTCACGCTCTCACTGCTTCTCTCATCACCACGCTGTCTGCTCCTCTCCTTCCGCCCTCCTCCTGCTGTCCCTACCTTCTGTTGGCCTGCTCTCCCCCATCTCTTCCCCCCTGTCAGCCCGCGACAGCAGTGAGCTGCCAGTGTTGGACGCGCGGTCGCAGCACACGCTCACACTCCTCACAGGCTCTCCGCACGGCCGCATTGACTTCATGCTGCAGGTGGGGCATGGGGCGCAGGGGGGGAGGGGGGGATTGGGGGGGGGGGTGGAAGGGGGGCGTTGGGACGTTGTCGTGGCTGTGCTGTGCGCCACAATATGTATGGTATTGCTCACTTGCAGCCACACACACATGATCCTCATATCTCTCTCCTTCTCTCTGCCCCCTTGTTCTATGTGCTGCTGTGCCCGCCAGGACCCCTCCTTCCAGCACCAGTACTTGCAGGCCATGAGCTGCCACTTGTGAGTCACAACTTCCCTCTCGCCTCGCCTCCTTCGCTCTCGCCCCTTCTTTCTCCTGCCTGCATCACCTTTACCTGCAAGTCTGCTACCATGCCACTCCTCCATTCCACCCACACCTCTTCTGCCTGCATGACCTTGGTGATGCGTCCAGTGCCATTCTTCCCCCAACAAGATTCTCCTCCGCTGTTGCTCGCGTCTCAGCGCTTGCCAGTCTCCTCACCGCCGTCTGCCACTCCCCTCTTCCCTCTCACCTGTCCTCCCTTTCTTCCTCACCTCCCCTTCTCCCCCTCAGCGATGCATGGATAGACAAGGACATAGCGCTGCTGGTCATCCGCCATCTCTACCGCCACGTGCCTCGCCAGCCCCCTCCCGCCCGCCAGCCACCGCCCCTGCACGCTCACTTCGACCCCTCCTCCCCCGCCCCCTCTCCCACTGCTACCACCCCCCCCACTGACCCCTCGTTCTTCTCGCCTCCTCCCTCCCCCTCACGTCACGCCGTCTTCTCCTCCCTCTCTGCCCTCTCCACGCCTCGTTGCCTCTCTGGAGACCTCTCCTCCTACTCCATCCCCTCCTTCCTCCCCTCCCACCCCTCCTCCTCGCCCCTTCCTGCCACGCGACCCTTCTCCCCCCTCTCAGCCCCCCCCACGCCCCATCCTCTCCCACCAGCATTATTCCCTGCATCAGCACCGCCAGCAGCACCCATCAATGCTACGACGACATCTTCCACCGCTCCCAACCCATCCGCAACCCACGCGGCCATGCCCTCGCGCCCGCCCCCTTCGAGTCAGGTGCGGGGGCACCAGCGCAGCGGCAGCAGCAGCAGCCTGCTGGGGCGGCTGTGTGACGCTGTGAGCCCTCTTGAGCATGCTGCTGCTGCTGAACGGCACGCAGGGAGGCACACGGGGAAGGTGGTACCTGGGGCAGGTGCTGCTGGTGCTTCTGCTGGTGGTGGTGGTGGCAGTGGCGGTTTGCAGCAGCGACAGAGAAGGCAGTGGAGGGAGGGGGGTGTGGGGCATGGGAGGAGGGCGTGGGGAGGGGAGGAGAGTCAGGGGAGGGTGAGCAAGGTGGGGGCAGTGAGGAGGTGTGTGAGGCGAGTGCAGACACACATAGAGGAGGAGGATGAGGGTGAGGACGAGGGGGAGGAGGAGGATGAGGAGGTGGCATTCACCTTCTCTAGTTGGAGGGCCGCTCAGCTGCTGCGAGTGCAGCTGCTGCTGTGACCACAAACCACAACACACCAGTGTCGCACACCTGCTTCATGTAGCGATTCATGTGAACCATATTGCTGCATTTGTGGTGTATATACAACGCTTGAATGCACTACATTTATATTCATTGAAATGCAGAGGCGTTCACCGTTCCTCTTCCGGTCTGGTGATGGTCATTACCTGCCCACACTGGCATAGATATCATAAGAAATAATCTCCTTGCCATCTTTGCACAGCACAGAAAGAATGTGGCTCTGAATAACATAACATTATGTAGCGAGTGTCCTGCACAGTTAAAGTATATGGTGAAAACTGGGACCTAATTCTGGCCAAATCAATCAGCATCCAATGGTTTTGTGTCCTGTGCCTTCCAGCCTTGTGAAAGTGGAGGCCGGGCAGTGGGCACACAACACAAGGTCACACACAGCAATGTGTTCTCATTCCATAACAACGAAGCTCCTTGAAATATTGCCACGATGTTGCCAGTGCCACGCTCACAGCTCCACCTGCTGCATGTCATCAGCCCCTGGGAAGCCGTTGCTGCTGCCATCCCCCGCAGCACCACCCCATGCCCCACTGCTTGCAAACCCCTGCGCCGCTCCCACTGCTCCCGCTGCTCCCAGTGCAACCTGAGCCCCCGGGGGCAGCATGGGAGGAGCAGCTGCCATGTACCCCTGCGCCGCCCACACGCCCTTGTGCTGCTGTGCCCCCGCACCTCCTTGCGCACCCACTCTCTGCCCCGCCCTGCCTGCCCCCGCTGCTGCTCTAGGCGGTGCCCCCATCGCCATGCCTGCAGGTGCCATGAGCCCAGGCACAGGAGCACCAGGTGCTGCTCCCGATTCATTCGACCCACCACCTGCCACAGCAGCCCCACCTGATGACTCCACTCCATTACCCATCCCTTCCATGCTGCTCGCCTCACCCATTTGAGCCGGGGCAGGGGTCATGACTGCCATGGGGGCAGCAGGCATGAAGAACTTTGGTGGGCCGCCTGCTGCTGGCGTTGCTGCTGCCCCAGCGGCAGCAGGCATGGGGCGCGGGATGGACGGCAGCAGCGAGGCGGCAGGCGTGGGTGCGGGTGTGGCGCCCTTGTTGAATGTGTCCACGTACCTGCGTGCGTGCGTGGTGGGGGGGGAAGGGGAAAGGGGCGGAGAGCAGAGAGGGGGGAGATGGTTGTGGAAGGGGTTTGAGTCAACTTAAAAGCAACGAGGCGGCAGGCGCGGGTGCGGGTGTGGCGCCCTTGTTGAATGTGTCCACGTACCTGTGTGAGTGGAGGGGGAGGAGGAACGTGGGATGGGGTGTTGTTGCGCGAGGTGAGTGGGAAATGAGTGGTAGAAAAGAAAAACACAGAGAAACACAAACTGGAAATAAGAGTCAGGTGCATGTCCCCTTGCCCCCTTTCCTGGGCAGCCAGGGCCACACTAGCAGAGCAGAGCATGGCAGAGGTCACGGCAAAGCAGAGCAAAAAGCAGAGGTGCCCACCTGGAGCGCACAGCACTGCGCCGCCCAAAGCTGCCAGCGTAAGCCAGTGGCGGGCCGGGCTTCGCTGCTGAGCTGGCCGGTGCTGACGTGGAATCAGCAGCTGGCGCAGGAGGAGCTGCTGAATGGACAGCTGGCGGTGCAGGCGTAGCAGGCGGCGCACCGTCAGCAGCAGGAGCAGGAGCAGCAGGGGTGGTGGCAGGAGGGTCAGCGGAGTTGGAGGTGCCGGGAGCGGCAGGGGCGAAGGCGAAGGCGGTGGGGGGCGGGGCGAGGGTGGTTTCCACGACCTCGTCCTCCTTGCCTCGCTCCACCCACCGCTTCAGCTTCTCGTTGAAATAGAACGTGTTCTCCCCGCCCAGCTTCGCCTGCCACGTCAGGAAGGGGGGGTAGGGAGCAGCAGCATGTCAAATGTGTGGGGAAGAGCAATAACTGAGAGACAGGAAGGTTGAAGTGAACGACACAGCACGCAGTTACAAGCACAAGGATTTAGCATACACCTGCCATACCTCCCGTTCCCACAGCCCTCTTCACCCATCCCTTCCCCTCCCCTCTCACCTGCTTCCCGGTTGCGCCTCCTCCCCCTGAGCTCCCAGCAGCAGAGCCGCCCCCCCAGAAGTACCCAAAGAGGCGCCCCAACCCCTTCCCGCCTGGCGCTGCTGGCGGCTTGCCCGCTCTGCCCTTGCTGCCCTTGGCCTGCACGGGGGTGGGAGGAAGGAGCCAGGGGAGCAGCAGACATGAAGAGGAAGGAAGGGGGCTGAGATATGAAAGCCCATGACGTCCCTACCGTGTGTGCTACAGGGCTATGGAGAAAGGAAGCTGATGGCATTCACACGAGGTGAGAAGGGAGCGTCACCACTTGGTGCCGTCATACACCCGTGGGATGCGTCATGGATCATCTGTCATGCATCACGTGCCATGCATGATGCGCCACGCATCATGTGGCAAGCGCCACGCACCATGCACCATGTGTCTCTCACCGGCACGGCCTGCCCCATGTCAGGAGCGGAGGCGCTGCGCTTGTTGGACATGCCAGTGCCCGTAGCGAGCAGCCCCTCCACCGCCTCCTCTGTCACCAGCCCCATGGACGATGACGTGGCAAGCAGCGACGCTGACGAGGACGACGTCGACGGCCCACCCCCGCCACTCCCATCGCCGCTCGCTCCCGCCTTCCCACCCGTCCCAGTCAGTGTGGCATCAGCGCTCCCCTCGGCCATGTCCTGTGGGCTCACTTTGCTCGGGTGGCCGCCCAGCAGCCCAGCCAGGGAGAATCTGCTGCGCGGGGCCGCCTTCTTGGCGGCAGGTGCACCTGGGGCGGGTAGATCTGCAGCGGAGGCGGACTGGGAGCGCGGCACAAGGGCAGGCTGGGCCTGGGGCACAAAGTCAGCATCGCCCTCCCCGCTGGGGGACTCCCTGATGGGTGTGAGGTGGCCTGACCCCCACCCTGCTGCACTGGGCGTGCCGTGCCACTCCGCAGAAAACGCTGCCATGGAGAGAGGCTCGTCCTCCCTGATGGCTGGCGTCTGGGATGCAGCAGGCACCGCCTCCCCTGCCCTGCTGCTCGCTCCCCCTGCTCCCCCTGCCGCTGCTGCGCTGCTATCCCCCGTGGGCGTGCCGTAGGCCGGGGAGAGGGCGATGGGGGGCATGTCAGCACTGGTGACAGCAGGGGTGGAGGAGGAGGAGAGGGGAGTGCATGCAGCGGAGTCAGAGGTGTCTGATAACACCTCAGCTGCTGCATCGTGCCACTCGCCCTCGCCCCCACCCTCTCTCTCACCCCCTTGCATCTCACCTGCCCCTGTGCCTGTCTGCTGTTCCCCTTGCTCCTGCCCTCCTTGCGCTCCTCCTCCTGCCACTCCGTATCCCTCACCCCACTGCTGCACCCCCACCTGTTCCTGCTGCGGCTGTCGCTGTTGCTCGCCCCATGCCTGTGTCTCCTGAGACCAGCCTTGCTGTTGTTGCTGCTCACCCCATGCCTGCTGCTGCTCCGGCCAGGCTTGTTGCTGCTGCTGCTCCTGACCCCACTGATGTTGCTGCTGTTGCTGTTGCTGTTGCTGCTCCCACTCCTGCCATTGTTGCTGCTGTTGCTGCTGCTGCTGCTCCCATTGCTGCCACTGCTGCTGCTGCTGCTGCTCTTGCTGGTAACCACTACCGTAACCACCATACTGCTGTGCAGCCACCTCGTTCTGCTCCATCTGTCCTGCTTGTGCGACCCCCTGCCCCCACTCACTGCCACCACCTGCTGTCCCTTGCACTCCCCCACTCCACGCACTGCCCTGCTCCCCTCCAGTTCCTCCCTGCGCCCCCACCCCTGCTGCCGCACCCAGTGCACCACCAGACCAGCCATCTGCCGCCCCACCACCAGCAGCCATCGTAGCAGCAGCAGCACTGTAGCTGCTCGCCAGACCGCCTTCACTACCCGGAGCTGCTTCAGTGGCACCTGCACCCTGCCCCTCCGCCAAGCCTACCAGGTTCGGCCCGGACGCGCTGTGCAGGCCCGGGGACGAGGTGGATGCAGGAATGGCACGCTTGCCCAGCCCCCACCGCCCCCCTCCCCCTGTCGTACTAGCCTTCCCAGCCACCCCCAGGTTCGGTGCCGAACCAAACCGAGACGACTCGCCCAAGCTCGGCTTGCTACCAGCCCCACCGGGCACAATGTCCCCCATGGCGCCTCCACCCAATGCCGATGCGACACCTGGCGCAAGAGGCGTAGCAGCAGGCCCCCCACCGACAATCTTCCTAGCGCCTCTATCAAGGAAGCTCATGAGATCACCAAACACGCGTGCTGCCGCCACCCCGCCCCCCCCTGCCCCCTGCACGTGCACCTTGAGTCGCTCCTCCATCTGCTCCGCTGCTGCTCTCCACCCCTCCACCTCCGCCGCCACTCCCCGCCCCCTGCCGCCCGCCTTGAGCATCTTCAGCACCGCGTTACAGTACTTGAGGGCGGCGGCCGGGCGGCCTGCTTCGGCCAGCATGGCAGCGTAAACAAGCTTAAATGGCATCAAGGGGAGCAGCACGAACTGCGGGTTGCCGAGAACAAACGCATACTCGAGCACCTCACTGCGCTGAATGGCCCGCGCCGTCACAAACGTGCGCGGGTGCTTCAGGTGATCCGTGCCCAGCAGGCACATGCGTGCCGAGGAGGAGAAGGGCTCCAAACTGCCTGCTGCAACGAGGTAGCAGATGTGTGCTGCGGCCACGTCCCCCCTGAGGCGCCACAGGCAGTCGCCCAGGTGGGAGATGACCCTCTCATCGCCACTCGTGCGCGTCGCTGCCATCAGCGCCACATTCTCCCTCCACTCCGCCACCATTGCTCGCACACCCTCGTCGCTGCTCCCACTGCTGGTGCCACCATCACCACCAGCAGCAGTACCAGTACCAGCACCAGCACCGACGCCTGTCTTGGTGGCATCAGCAGCGGCACCGGTGGCAGCGGCGGCAGCAGAGGCAAACACGGCGGAGGGCTGTTGGGTGAGCAGCAGAGTGAGTGTGCGCAGAGGGGCACCAGGGGAAAACTGCTGCGCCGCCATGGCGTGTGCTGTGGAGAGGAAGAGGCGCGTGTCAGAGGGGCCGCCCATGTGCTGCGCGAGCAGCAACGCCAGCCCCCACAGGTGGCCCGCCTTGGCTGCCTCCAGCGCCTGCATGTGCCTCCCCGCCACCAGATGCGCCTTCACCTCCTGCGCTGCCGCCTGTGGGGGGAAGGGGTGTGGTGTGGAGGGAGGAAGGAAGGGGTTGGGGCAGATGGAGAGCAGAGGGCGTGTGCATCTGGAGGACAGGGGGTGAAGGCGAAGGGAGGAGCTGGCAGGCAGTACAAGGAAGCCGTCAGACAAGACAGGGGAGCGGCCGACAGGACGTGGAGGAGAGGAGCAGAGCAGGGGAGGAGCGCACCTGAACTGCAGCCTCAGTGGGGATGGGCAGTTGGAGGTCCGACACGCGGGCAGCAGCAGAGGCGGCAGCAGGCAGGGGCGACCATGCAGAGGCGTATGGCGCCATGGGAGCTGCTGCTGCTGCCGGCGCTGCCACCCAGGGGAAGGGCCCTGCTGTAGCAGTAGCGGGGGCGGCTGTAGCGGTGCTGGCTCCAGCCCCTCCCCCTGCCAGTACCTTGGCTAGCTCTGCCTCTGGCGATGACTCGCCCTGGGCATGGCACATGGCACATGGCAGAGGTACATGGGTGCATGCACGGTAAGGTGAGGGTACAGCCGACAACTCAAGCACATCAAAAAGTAAGAGAAAGAGTTCTTCGGACAAGAAACATGGCACCACCATAAAGGCAGCTCACAGCACTGATGCTGCGTCACAGGCAGCAGGAATCGACAACAACACACGCAAGCGGAGAGGAGAAAACAGACGGGGGATGATTTTTCGAGGGGAGTACAGTAATGACAAGCTTCCCCACCGACCTACCTGCCACGCCGAACGCACCTGTGCGGAGCGACTGCCCATGCCATCCCGCCTCAGCTGCCCGTAGAACTGACACGCCACTCGCAGCACTCGCCACAGCAGCGCCACACTCTCCGCCCTCTCCGCACTCCCAGCGCCCCCACCGCCCCCTGCCTCCGCCTCCTCCTCCTCGCCGCTCCGCTCCGCGCGCTCCTCCAGCCACTTGCTCAGCTCCTTGGCCGACATGCCGCCAGCTGTCAGCGGCCCATTGGGCGCATGCTTGCCGGTGAGCGGGGCGAGGTAGAGCGAGCCGGCGGTGCTGGCGGCAGTGGAGGCGCCGTCATGGGCGGCGAGGCTGAGGAGGTGTGGCAGGGGGAGAAGCTTCAGCGTTGGCTGCACTGGGGGGGACAACTGCAGTCATTTGGCAGGCGGAGGGGGAGAGGCGGGAGGGGATTGGGAGGGAAAGGGAGTTGGGGAAGGAAAAGTGAGGGAATGACTGGGCAGGTGAATTAAGGGTGGTAGAAGCAAGGTGATTCTGGAAAGAGCGCATCAGTTAGCAGCAAGTGGCGAGGATTGCAGCACGAGTATTGCTTTCAAGAATCCTCAGAAGCAGCACTCACCTCCACCTGCCCCTGTGAGCCCATGGTCTGTCCGAGCGAGCTGCCAGGCACCACCACGGCCGCCCTGCCTCCGAACCCAAACGCCAGCAGCGTGTGCGGCGGGCGGCCCGCAGACGACAGCACCGCCTCCGCTGTGCTGGTGGGCGGCACGTGGTTGTACTGCACCGGCTGGTACTGCTGCTGCTGCTGCTCGTACTGCCCGTACTGGTACCCTTGCTGGTACCCCTGGTACCCCTGTGCATACCCCCCAACTCCTGCCGACTGCTGTGCTTGTTGCTGCTGCTGCTGCTGTGAGTATGGGGCGGATGGTACCATGAGCCCCACTGCAGGCTTCCCTGCCGTGCCTGGCACCCAGGGGGCGTGTAGCTGGGGCTGGCTGTAGCCAGGGTCCGGCTGGCTGTAGCGCGAGCCTGCAGGGCCGTAACCAGGGTCGGGCTGAGACGACCCACCAGGGTAGCTGCTGCCGCCCTGCACCTCTGCTGCGCTGCCCTCCCCCCATGGGGCGGGCGCGGGCAGGAACGGCTGTGGCTGCATGGACACTGGCGGCTGCTGCAGAGGCTGCGAGGAGGTGGGCACGAGCAGGCTGTCTGCTGTGGGTGGGTACGAGGATGCACCCTCTGCTGCCACCGCCTCCCCATTAACCCCTGCTGCTGCTGCACTCTGTGCTGCCACTGCCTCTGTACTGCCATACTCTGTGGCTTGTGTTTGTCCCTCCCCTTCCTGTGCCTGCTGCTGCTGCTGGTAGTACCAAGCATTGTAAGCATCATACTCCGTCTGCCCCCACTGGCTCCAATCCTGCTGCGCCCATGCCCCTGCCTCGCCCGCCCCTGCTCCACCTGTCATCTCGCCTCCTGCAATTGCACCGGCTGCACTCACTGCTGAAGCCGCACCTGCCTCTACTCCCTGTGCGTCATCCTCCCCACCTGCCTCTGCGCTCGCAGCAAGAGCAGTCCCAGGCGCATGCGCGTCCTCAGTTGCAGCAGCAAGAGAGTCCGGAGGCGGGGCGAGGCCAGGGAGGGGGGGAGCTGCCTCAAACGACAGCTGCATGCCAGGTTCGCCCTGAGACGCCCCCGCACTGCCTGCGTCTGCTGCAACTCCCCCCTCTGCCTCCCCTTCCTTGGGCACCGTCTCTTCAAACTGAGCCCACTCATCCGCCTCTGCCGCCCCAACGCCTGCACCTTCCGCACCCGCACTGCCTGCACTCTCCCCGCCTGTTACCACACTGCCAGCCACCGCTGCTGCCTCGTCCCCTGCGCCACTCACCGCCTCCACAGCCGCAGCAGTAGCTTCGTCTGCAGCAGCAGCTGCGCCTGCACCAGAAGGCACCTGCTCGTCTGTGGGCAGCCACTGACCCACCACAGGGTCCCACCTCCACCCCGGGTACTCGGTTGCTATCACTCCCCCCTCTGCCCCACCTTCAACGACCCCTGCCTCCCCACCCAGACCCTCCATGCCTGAGCTCTCTGCTGCTTCACCCACCGCCTCCACTGCAGCTGTCTCTGCGGCCACGCCCTCAGTCATAGCTGCCACTGCCGCCACAGCTTCAGCCCCATCAGCAGCAGACTCTGGCTGGTCATCCGGCACCCACTGTCCAATAAGGCCATCCCAGCGCCACCCGGGGTACTGCAGCGCGATGGCCTCCCCCCCTGCTGCTGCTGCGCTGCTGCTGCCCGCCGCATCGCCAGCCCCCTCTGCTGCTGCTGCGCCATCTGCTGCTGCTGGCGTTGCCTCGCCCACCTGCCGCCACTCGCCTGTCACTGCATCCACCACCCACCCCGGGTACTCCGTCGCGATAACGCCATCCCCAGCTGCCTCCCCACCCACCGCGAATGCCTCCGTCTCTGCTTCTGCCTCTGCCTGTGCCTGTGCCTGTGCCTGTGCCTCTCCACCCGCCACCTCAGCCCCAGCGACCTCACCTCCCGCACTCAACAGTGATGCGCTTATCCCACCCTCATTCTCCTTCCCACCTTCAGCCCCCATCCCACTCGCCGTAGTTCCCTCACCCCAATCCCCAAAATCAGCTTCTGTCGACCCACCCACTGCTTCCCAAGGGGCTGCCACAGCAGCTGCCTCTACCACCTCCTCCTCCCAAAAAACGCCTCCTGCGCCTGCTGTACCCTCCTCTCCTGCTAATCCTTCTTGTCCTGCCGTTTCCTCTTGCCCTGCTATACCCTCTGCCACAACAGCCGCCTCAGGCACGCATGCATCCGCCTCAGTTGCCAATGGTTCCACAGCCGGCCCCGAGTCCGCTGACAGGTCCTGCTCCTCAAACACCCCGTCGCCCTCTCCCATCCCTATCGCCGCCCCTGCTACTGTTGCATCTACTGCTGCTGCTGCAGCTTCTGCCTCAGGCACTGCATCGCCTTCTTCGAGCCCACTCACTGCAGCTGTAGCAGCGTCTGCTCCCGTGACCTCAACTTCTCCACCAGCGTCACCTGCTTCAGCCGCATCTGCTACAGCGGGCTGCTCGCCTGTGGGCACCCACTGGCCCGTGAGAGGATCCCACATCCACCCGGGGTACTGCGTTGCTATCGCCTCATACCCTCCTGCCTCCGCGCCCTCTGCCTCTGCAGCCACCACTGCTGCCATCCCTGCGCCGCCCTCTCCCACTGCCTCCTCTGCACCACCTGCGCCCACCCCCAGCGCCTCCCCATAGCCTCCCTCCGCGGGCCCTGCGTCCGCCCAGAAGGGCTCCACGGAAGCACCCTCCGCCTCTGCTGTGACTCCAGCTGCCGTCTCCTCAGCACCCACACTAGCAGCAACACCAGCAGCAGCAACAGCCGCATCAACTGCTGCTGCATCTGCCACTGCATCCAGCGCCTGCAGCCCGTCTGTCCACCCCTCCACCGCTTCTTCCCCTACGTGCTGCCCTCCCTCTCCCTCTTCTGTCCCCACAACTGCCTCCGAAACCTCATCCACCTCTGGAGCACTGACCTCAGCTTCAGTCGCAGCCTCAACACCAACATCCGCAAATCCGTCTGCCTCCGCCTTGCCATCTGCTTCCTCTCCTGCACTACCTGCCTGCCCCTCCATCGCCTCCCCACCTGCCTCACTCACCACATGCCCCTCCGCCTCAAACCCCACAAACGACCCCTCCACGCCCCCCTCAACCGCCTCTGCTGCCCAGTCTACCGCTGCCCCACTCACCTCACTCTCAGGCCACCCCTCCCCCGCCACCACGGCTGCTGCCCCCCCTGCTTGACCCCCTACTGCCATTCCTTCCGCGCCTACCAGAGCCACATTCTCGCCCATGTCATCAAGAACAGCATAGCCAGCAGCAGCAGAGTCGGCAGCAGCAGAGTCGGCAGCTACAGCTGGCTGCTCGCCTGTGGGCACCCACTGGCACGTGAGAGGATCCCACATCCACCCAGGGTACTGCGTTGCAATGGCCTCACTTCCCGCTGTCTCCGCACCCTCAGTGAATGCACTCACCACTGCACCCGCTGCTGTTGCCTCACTGCCTGCCCCATCTGCCTCCCATCCCTGTGCCTCCAATGCTTCTACTCCTGCTGACAACACTTGCTCCTCTGGCGCCAGATACTCTGCTGAACTCCCTGCGGGATCCTCAATTCCACTCTCAGCTGAATCCAATACCTGCGTTGCAACTGCCTCACTCTGACTACCGTCGACCTCTGCACCCCCTGCTGCTGCACCGCTCATTGCCTCTGGTGGTGCAACCCCCATGCCCTCCTCTCCCGCTGCTGCATCCACCACCTCTCCCGCTGCTGCTTCCATCCACTCCGACCCCTCGACTACAGGCTCCCTTGCTTCTTGCCCCAGGACCCACTCCTGCTCCCCTGCAGTGGACTCACTTAATGCCGCGCCTGCCGCCACTGCGCCTTCAGCTACAGTCTCCGCTCCTACAGCCTCCACCGCTACAGCCTCCACCGCTACAGCCTCCACCGCTACAGCCTCTACTGTTAACGCCGTTCCAGCAGAAGCATCAGCCAAGTCTGGAGAAGCGTCAGCCCCATCTGCAGCAGCACCTGTCGCAGAAGACTCTGGCTGGTCGTCCGGCACCCACTGGCCCAGCAGGCCATCCCAACGCCACCCGGGGTACTGCAGCGCTATGGCCTCCCCCCCTGCTGCCTCACCGCTAGCCCCATCTGCTGCTGCCGGCGCCGCCTCGCCCACCTGCCGCCACTCGCCAGTAACAGCGTCCACCACCCACCCCGGGTACTCCGTCGCGATAACTCCCGACTCAGCGACTGCCGCTGCCTCTACTCCCTGGCCCTCCACCTGCTGCTGCCCCTCCTGTTGCTGCTCGTTCTCCCATGCCGCTTCACCTGCCATCTGCCCCTCCTCCCCCATCCGCACGTCAGCATCCCCCTGCCCCGCGCCTCCCTCGGCGTCAAACGCATCATGCCCACTCTCGCCCACACCACCCGCACTTCCCACTTCCATACCCGCTGCGTCAGTCACCGCAGCCCGTTCCTCAGCAACCTCCGCCCCCCCTGTCTCGCCTCCCTCACACACACGCATCTCCTCCCCACTATCCATCCCCGCGCCCACCTGAGTGAGCTCAGAGGAGAGCGGGGGAACGGTGGGTTGGGAGTCAGGGAGGAGAGGCAGAGGAGGAGCAGCATCGAAGGACAGGGGCTGCAGAGCAGGACTGACTGGCAGCTGCTCATCCCCGCCCACTCCAGTAACCCCCTTCTGCACACTGCTCTCTGCCTGCTCCTCGCCCTGTTCACCTGCTGCCATCAGCACTGGCTGAAACTCAGATGTACCGGCAGCAGGGACAGGTGGCGGGGCGTCAGCTGGCTCTCCCTCGACCATCTCAGCCTGGCGTGCCACATCCATCATCCCCTCCGCTCCACCCCACCCACCCGGAACCACCTCGCCTGCCCCTTGCCACGCCTCTGCCTGTGGCTCAGCGACAGGCAACTCACCCACTGCTGCTTCCGCTTCAGGAGTGACTGCATGCTCTAATGGAACTGCCTCCGTCACTGCATGCTCCGTGGCGCCTGCTGCAGTAGCGTCGCCTGCTACTACTGCTGCTGGTCCAGGATCCGCTTGTGCAGCGGCAGAGGCATCAGTTACAGCTGCGACGTCAGCAGCGGCAGGTGGCACATAGCCTTCGATCTGCCTCCACTCGCCTGCTGCGTAGTCCCAGTACCAGCCAGGGTACGCCTCTGCCCACTGCCGCTGCTGCTCCTCCCACTGTTCCGCTGTCAGCTCCCCCTGACCTGCATACTGCCCGTCTCCCTGCCCCCCATACTGGCCCTCCACCTGCCCGCCATACTGTCCCTCGCCCTGGCCTGCATACTGCCCCTCGCCCTGCCCCCCACTCGCGTGCTGCCATCCAGCCTGGCCATCCGCATACGCCTGCCATGCCTGCCCCTCCTGCCCCGCCTCCCCGCCCTCCACCGCCATCTGCTGCTCTCCCGTATACCCCTCTCCCACTGTCTGCTCCCCCACTGTCTGATCACCTGCTCCACTCCACTGCCCTTCTCCCCCCTCCACGCCATCTCCACTTACCATCGCTCCACCGGCCCCCTCATCACCTCCCTCCACGGCTGTATCAAGTGCGGTGGCATCAGAACCAACACCAGGAGCCGTGGCTTCCCCCTGCCCATCCACACCGTCTACCAGGTCAGCCCCAACAGCGTCAGCGCCAGTACCAGCACCAGCATCAGCATCGCCATCAGCATCAGCAGACATGAACCAGGCCGCCGCATCCTCCTCCTCCCGCTCCTCCACCTGCCCGCCCTCCTCCCCACTCTTCCCCCCACCCACGCCAACACCACCCTCCACAACCCTAGCAGGCCCAGACTCCGCGGATCCTGAACCAGCAGCGCCCAGTGCACCCACACCCGGCAACAGCTGCTGCGTGGCCCCTGCAAGGGCAGCAGCGGCGGCGGCAGGTGGGGCAGGGCGGACGGCATCCCGGTCCACAGCAGCAAAGAAGGCGGCAGCGTCCTCCTCGCTGGCAGTGGCCTTGAGCAGGCGGGTGGCAGCAGCCGACACTGCAGACGCCACCGACGCCATCATGGGCGCCCCCAGCGGCACTGCACTGCCGCTCGCCAGCGCTGCCATCACATCCTCTTCTTCCTCCTCGTCCTCGTCCTCCTCCTCCTCGTCCGCCAGTCCTCTCTGCAGCATGGCCAGTACACCCACCTCGCCCGACGCCCCCCCATCTGCGCCGCCCTCGTCCGCGTCCTCCCCCACGCCCCCAAAGTCCATGCTCACTAGGTCCTCCCACCCCAGCTGCTTCCTCCCCCCCGCTCCTCCTTTCTCCCTGCCGCTAGCCCCGCCGTTTGCCCCAACATCTGCCCCGCTCTCGCCACCCTCGTCTCCTTCGCCCATCCAAGAAGCAAAGCCAGCTGCGCTCGCCGCACCCCATGTGGGCTTGGCGCCGTCAGCAGCAGCAGCAGGTGCTGCTGGGGCAGCGGAGGCGGCAGTGGCTGGGTCCGCAGCTGCGCCTCCCAGCATGGAGAGCACGGGCATGGCGAGGCCCTTGAGGGCCAACGCGCCTGCACAGGGGCCAGAGGAAAGGGGCGCGTGAGACACGATATGTTGGTAGGGGGACTGGTGTCAGCTACAATGCAGTGAATGGGCTCACATGCACGCTCATGCGGGCACACTCACATATGCACTCACAAATGCACTCACAAATGCACACACTCACAAATGCACTCACAAATGCACACACTCACATATGCACTCACAAATGCACACTCTCACATATGCACTCACAAATGCACACTCTCACATATGCACTCACAAATGCACACTCTCACATATGCACTCACAAATGCACACTCTCACATATGCACTCACAAATGCACACTCTCACATATGCACTCACAAATGCACACTCTCACATATGCACTCACAAATGCACACTCTCACATATGCACTCACAAATGCACACACTCACATATGCACTCACAAATGCACACTCTCACATTTCTACATGAACACATGCCAAGCGCCACAGGCAACGAGGCCACCCAGCGCACCTTGGTTGATGACCTGCGAGCCCAGCTTAGCGCCGGGGCCCTCGCGCCCTGCGCCAGCCTTGTCAAACAGGCTGCGGATCTTGCTCTCATTGTCCTCCCCCACACCGTCCCCTCCCCGCCCGCTAACAGCTCCACCCACGCCCTCCTCTTTCACATCACCCCCCCCGCCCAGCACCCCCTGCCCATCCTGCCCGCCCTGCACGCCTTCCCTGCGCGCGCCTGCACCATCCCCTGCCTCCTCCCCGGGCTGCGCCGTCAGCAGCACGTCAGACGACCACGCAGACACGTCAGATGCCGCCTTCACCAGCGAACCCAGCAGCGGCCACGCGCCCTCCCTCCGCCCCCCTGCTGTCGCTGGCCGCGCCATGCGCGCGCCCACTCCCCCCACCCCGAACCCGCCCCACGCATCCCCGCCCAGGCCTCCCCACCCGTCCCCGTTTGGTCTCCGCCCCTGCGCGCCCGCCTCTCCGCTCATGGCAGCGGATCCAACGCCCTGGAAGCTGCTGGTGCGCGCATACGCGCGCTCCCCCAGGGGCCTCTCCGCAATGAATCTGCCCGCGATCCCCCAGTCATCACCCTCGTCTATGCTCCCCCACCCGTCCCCCTCTCCCGCCCAGCCCTCGCCGTGCCCACCGCCCCCGCCCTTCTTGCTCTGCCCCTTCCGCTGCTCGCCGTTGGCCTCCTCGCCTGCAGCCATCCGTGCAGCCGCGCCGGCAGCCACGTCAGCATCAGTGCGACCCACCTTGGCGCCACCCTCCGCAGCATATCCCAAGGGGTCTTCCCGCCCGTTGGCCCACGCGCTGCCTGCCAGCCCGCCGCCTTCAGCAGCGGGCCTTGCGCGCTGCTTTCTCACCTCCTGCGCCTGCTCCTCCGCCTGCCTCTCCCTCTCCCTCTCCCTGCGCTCCATCTCCTGCCTCTCGCGCTCCTTCTGCTCGCGCTCCCTGCGCTGCTGCTCCAGACGCTCCTGCCTCTCCTGCTCCCTCCTCTCTCGTTCTCGTCGCAACTGCTCCTGGCGCTCCTTCTTCTTCCTCTCTTCCTCTCGCCGAAGCCACTCTTGCCGTTCCCGCTCCTTCCGTTCCTCTTCCTTCTTTAACTCCTCCTGCCGCTCCCTCTCCTTCCGTTCTTGCTCCTTGCGCCTCTCCTGCTCCTTCTTCTCCTCCTCAATCCGCTTCTGCTCCCGCTGTTCCCACTCTAATCGTTCTCTCTCTGCCTTCAGCTTCTCTTTCCGCTCCCTTTCCTTCCGCCTCTGCTGGTCCTGTTCCTCCTTCTGCCTTCTCTCTAGCTCTTTTCTTACCTTCTCTCGCTCCCTTTCCTCTCTCTTCTCCTTCTCCAATAGTTCCTTCTCCAATAGTTCCTTCTCCAATAGTTCCTTCTCCAATCGTTCCCTCTCAACCTGTTCCTTCTCCATCCGTTCCTTCTCCATCCGTTCCTTCTCCATCCGTTCCTTCTCCATCCGTTCTTGCATTTCCTTCGCTTTCTTCTCCTGCTCCTCTCTCTCCTTCTTTTCACGCTCGATTCTTAACTGTTCCTGTTTCTCCATCTCCCTCCTCCTCTCTTCTTTTTTCAAAAGATCCAACCGCTCCTTTTCCGCTTTCTCCTGCTCCAACCTAAGCTGCTCCAGTCGTTCTTCCTTTTCCTTCTTCTCCTGCTCGGCTTTCAACTGCGCCTCCCTCTCCCTTTCCTTCCTCTCTTGCTCTGCTCTAAGCCGCTCAAGTCGCTCCTTCTCCTTCCTCTCCCGTTCAACCCTAAGCTGCTCCTGTCGCTCCGTCTCCTTCCTCTCCTTCTCCCTCCTCTCCTCCTCCTTCCGCAACTGCTCCAACCGCTCGCGCTCCTGTTGCTCCCGCTTCTTCCGACTCTCCTCCTCCAACTGCCGCTGCCTCTCCCGCTCGCCCGCCTGCTCCATCTGCGCATCCCGCGCTTGTTGCTCCTCCGCCGCCTGCGCCTGCTTCTCACCGCCAGGCCCGCCGCCACTGCTCGCAGCACTCAGCTGCGGCGCGGACAGCCGTCTGGGCACGGCCCCCAGCAGCCTGCCTTTGCCTGCGGGCTTGCCTCCCAGCCGGGGGGACGTTAGCTTGCGCGCGGCGGGCGCGGAGGAGGAGGAGGTGGAGGAGCAGGACGAGGAGGGGGATGACGGTGCGAGGGGAACGGGCGGCGCGGGTGCGGCGGCGGCGAGCGGGGAGTCAAAGAACGGCACTGCCGCGGGGGGGAGGAGAGGCGCGGGGACGGCGGCGGAGGACGAGGCGGGGCGAGTGGGTGCGCGTGAAGCATCCGCGCGCAGATCGTCCGTGTCGTCGAAGCCCAGAAACGCACTCGCTGCCGGCTCTGCGTGATTCGACAGGACGGAAGAATTCGGAATCGCAGCAGGTGTAGCTGAGGGCGCTGCAGCGGGAATGCCATTAGCGGGGATAGAAGCGACGGATGGAGCACCGGTGAGAGTAGACAGGCTGACACTTCTGCCGCCGCTGCTGCTGCTGCTAGCCGCGGTGGCAGGAGAGTTGTTAGCAGCATTAGGGGTTGCAGCGGGAGAGGGAGTGATGGCGGAGCGAGCGACGAGCGGCTTGCCTTTGACGAGCGACGACCGCGACGCCTTGCCGGAGAGCCCGATGATCTTAATCGGCGCGGCCGCGGCACCCGCGGCGGACGACGAAGCACCGTGCGGAGCGGAAGCTGCGGCGCGGGGAGCGGGAGCAAACGCGGGAGGAAGCGCGCCTTGCCCTTGCGACGATGTCGCGGTGGAGGGTTGATGATGTGCTGTTGACGATCTGTTAGTCGAAGCGACGACAGATGTCGTTGGAGTCGCATCTGTCGCATGCGATGTCGCATTGGACGACGACGGTGCGACGGATTGCGAAAGTCCTTTCTTGGAAGCAGCTATTGCTCCTCGCTTCGCAGTTGCGTGCGGAGGGTGCGCGGGGTCCGTCGCTGCAAGCACATGCTGCTTCGCGGATTCCGGCAGCAAAACGTCAAGCGGATCTGCCGGATGCACGTCCCGGATCGACGGATGCCGATGTGAATCCAACGGCTGAGATGCGACGGTGGAATGGGTTCGGGTCGCTTGACTGCCATCAATCGCAGCAGGCAGAGCGTGCGACGCAGCGTGAGATCCGCGAGGTACGGACTGAGGAGATTCGAGCTGCGCGGAAGGAGCAGGAGGGTCTTGATGTGCGAATCCAATGGACGCGTCTGTCGCTCCCGATGCATCTGACCACGTCGCGAGAGGCTTGGCGCTCAGCCTGACTGCGCCAAGACCTCCTCCCCCCGGCTTCTTCTTTCGAGCAATCGGCGGCATGGCTACCCTACTCTCTCCTACGGTCTACCGTAAGAAAATAAGAATTCGAGAAAGACGAAATAGGATGCCATGGAATGGGAGGCGAGAAATATAGCAGGCACATTCGTCTTCCAGATGCTGAGATTCCCTGGATGTTGGTGCAATCTCGAGAATTGGCAGATCTGACATGCCCACCAGCCTTGAGCTTGTCAGAAGGGGTAAGCAGTTCGTCAGAAGGCTGTAGTAAGAATGAGGTCCAACTACACTTGCGCTAAGGCTTACAAGAATGTACTTAACTCCCACCAACTATATTCAACATATTCATTGTCGTGCATACATAACCAACTACGGTACACGGGATACTTTCTTCCAGACCAATACACGGGATGCTTTCTTCTTCGCATGATATTCTAAACTTTACGTACTTAAAACTGCATTCGGTCAATATGGATCCTTATAACTAAGCGTCATGATGAGCTGCATTATATTTTGTCATTTCATCAAGGGGCTTTCCTTCTGGGTCATTCCACAAGACCACAGTATTGACATTCAATCCAACATGAGTACCGTATGTTGAGATACAGATGTTTTAGTGACCTTCCACACGAGTTTCATGTTCATGTAGCACATAAAGTAAATAATGATATTGTGGAAGGGCACCGGCCTGAGCCAGCCTGCCAGCCCTCTCAGCCCGCCAGCCCCATGCAAAGCGGTAGCAACAAACCGTGAACGGTGGGATGGAACTGTGGGATGTGACTGTGGGATGTGACTGTGGGATGGGACTGTGGGATGGGACTGTGGGATGGGACTGTGGGATGGGACTGTGGGATGGGACTGTGGGATGGGTCTGTGGTATGGGACTATGGGGTAGGACTGTGGGATGGGACTGTGGGGTGTGAGGGCGAGGCGCCGCTGCTCTGGGGGGTTGTGAGGGCGAGGCGCCGCTGCAAGCAGCAGCGTCCCTTGCAGCTCCCCACCATCAGATGAGCATGGCGTGCCATTGCTTGACTGATGTGTAGTGCACACGGCCACAAATAGATTGCCCCACTATGTAGGTCGCCACACACTGATGGTGGTGCTGCTTAGTGTGTTTCCCTACAAGCAAAAAGGAGGAGACAATCCTAAAGTGACGGCGAGTTGTTGGGTGGGGCTTTGAAAGGGCGTGGAGAAAGAAAAGAATCCAGAACGCAAAGACAGAAGGACAAGGGACGAGGCAAAATGGACGAAGACACAAGGGAAAGGC